AAAAAAAAAAATTGTTATTTAATTTTTACAATTTGAATTGATCGCGGCGACTTTGGGCGACTTTAGCGCCACAGGTCGGCTACGCGCTGAAAAGAAAGTCTGGGTACCCTGTCACTGAGTTTCATCTCACAATGCATATATATAGCTATACTATAGTACGTGACTTAAGGATTAATTTTGCTTGAGACTGTACACTGTACTTTCAGAAAACGTAACAAGTTTTTATGATATTAAAGTTAGCTGTCACTTGATCATTTTTTAATTTTATTAAATTTTCTAAATGTCAATTTTTAGTAGATTTTATAGAAATCGAACTACTGCATTGGTCCTCATGGCGGAACTTTTAAAAAATTTTGCTATATTTCGACTATACTCACCGAGCTGAGTCGAAAAATGCATAAGGTTCAAAAGTTTATATATGTATATATTGTATATTTTTAAAAGATTTTTTTATAATTTGACGCAATTTTCGACAAATATTTTAAATTACTAAAATTTGATCATTAAATATCTCTAAAAATTTTGATTTTAGCGACTTGGTGCTAAGGACTTTTTTGTAGGAAATTGAATTTTCTACAAGTTTGTCGTTAACATTTTTTCTGTAGCTCTTCGGTCAAGTAATTTAGAAATACCAGGATTTTAAAATTTTAAAAATCATAAAAATTCATATTTCTTCACTTTCTTACTCGAATAACTTTTGAATGGGATAACTTATTGAAACTCTGTAAATTGCATCTGAAAGCTCTTTAAATTAGCTTCAATTTGAGTACCATATCATATTTGTAGTCTCAAAATTATGTCCTCTTCCGCTATATGCCAATTATGAAATTTTCTATTGTACTGGTTTTAGTATTTTTCCGTCGATATATATTTTTGTCGATTGCATAGAAGTTAAAAGCCCTATACTAGTTTTGTATACAATCCTCGTTATATTTTTTTCTATTCATGATGAAATCTACTTCCATTTCGGCTGCCGAATGGTCTTTTATTTTCTCATTTTTTTATTTTTAATTTTAAATATTTTTTAAAAAGTTTAAACTTTTTGTATAAGCTTATACATGATTATATATGGAGTTATAACAGCCAGGTATGATCATATCTAATTATATATAGACTTATAAATGGTTATATATGGGGTTATCACAGCTAGGTATGATCAGATCTAATTATATATAGACATATATAATCAGATCTGATCATATATAGACTCACATATGATTATATATGGGGTTATAACAACCAGGTATGATCAGATCTAATTATATATGAGCTTATATATAATCATGTATGATTATATATAATTATATATGATCATATATAATTAGACAAAAACTTTTTTCATCGGGTAATCTACATAAGGAGAAAGTATTGCAGCATTTTGGAATTAAAAGATTTCTTTTAATTTAGCTAAGAATGGTTTTATAGTGTAGGAACCATCGAAAACATTTATGTCAGTGTGATATATCTATTAATGAGAGCTGATATTTTGTTTTTTGTCCGTGCATATTGTCCATAAAGATATATAATTTGTCACAATTAATTACTATTATCAATAAAATGATTTCGCTTCATTTTACGAAAGTAAGTTGTTACCATTAATTTACTAAAATCATAGAATTCATTCTTCATAATCCATTTTACCATATGTTTAGCATAGTCACCAGCACACTTGTCTCCAAAGTAATAATTGTTCGTATGATGCTGGCAATCTGATATAATGATCACCATTTCTTTATAATTGATCTCATCGAGACAAACAATTTGAACTGTAAGTGATTTCAATGTCATTGCGCTGATAATTCTATTCATAAGAATAGATTTTATGTCAATATTTCTAACAAAAATAACTTTTAAACTTCCAGATCTTGCAATCACGTCGTTAACTTCATTGAAGATATGGGACAAGTCATAGTCACCAGCATCCCAAGGAATCCCATATTTTTTGAAGTAGACATCATAACTATCTGGCGCTTGTAGGCCCATCGGCTTTGCGACATATAAATTACTGTAAGTAATAAATCCAAAAGGGTTCAAAATTATAATACTCAGTTCTTTTAAAATAAATCTATCTTCTTCATCATAGTAACCGTTCAAATCAATTACAGCGGACTGATTATCTTGGACCAGAATATCGTTATCGAAAACGTAGACTGCCAGCTCAATGGCTCCAGAGTACGCGCATTGATAATTAACACCGTTGTGTACTCTGCAATCACCCGTGAGTCCTGACCTCCTGAAATTAAATTGTTTAAACGAATCCAAAGGTCTGATGTTACTGTACCGCTTGCCGAGAAAACTCATCAATTTTTCAGCTTTTTCAGCTGTCTCCACAAAAATTATTTTCCTTTTTTCTAACTCATGTTTTATTTCTCTTTGCAGAATAGCTATTTCAAGAGAACCCGTTGTCCATTCTATTCCAGTGGTATTGTAGAAATTTTGGTAAGCATCAATATTTTCATGGCTTTGACTTAGAAGATCTGGAACTGGAGGATTTGTTACCGAAGATGTTTTTAGAGATCTTATACGACGATTTTCAATGACTTTTGATTTGCTGAACTCTTTAATGATAAATTGGTTGTTAAAGTAGTAGCCGGTAAAATCTACGATTAATAATTTCTCCATTTTCTCTTCTATAATATATGACAATATAATAAATTTTATTCATTGTCATATATGACATGACTCATCATAATGTGAATCATTAGAGAATGTTCTATAATCGAAAAATTTTTTCTGCCTCGCTGCAATTATTTTTATTTTGATGCTCTTGTTAGTATGTTTAAATCTAAAATTAAAGCACAGTTTGTTGAGTCGCCCATTTCATACAAGTAAGTCAGGAGTAGAATTAATTTTTTTTTTAATTAACGAATTATAACTAGCAATCTGCTGTCACTATACGACTGCTGAGAATTACGGATTATGAATAGGAAAATTTTGGAATAAATTTTAACAATAATAGTGCCATCACGGAATCAATTACAAATAATTTAATGGACAAAAGTGATGGAATAAATTTATAGAAGCACAAAACTGCTCCAAAAACTCAACATAAAAAATTGACTACCACTGAAAAATATATAAAACTGTGAAAAGGCACTAATTCTTGTCTCGACCTTTCTGATGATACCAAATTAAACAATAAAAATTTTTTTTTAAATAATAATATGCTTGTCACAAAATTTTCGTCGTGTATTTTTGGATAATATTAATCAAAATCAATTAAAAAAATATATCAATAGAAAATTCCATTTTATAGAACATAGTAATTTTTATTACTATAATTTAACAATTATTGATAATTAAGGAAGTACGAGCACCAAGGCAACTTTTTATAAAAGGTTTGATTTTTTTTTTTAAATTAAGTTTAAATATGCCTAAACAAATCCTAACAAATATAAATAATGCTGTGAAGCGGGAAAGAATAGAAGTTACGGATAATTATTACGTGAAGCGTAATTACATTCACGTACAGGATAAGTTGGTAGGAAAGGATTGAGAAAGGATTGTGGAGAGGATCATCTTAATGTGAGTGTATAGAATATGCAAGAAAAACAAATTATTAGATAACTCGGACTGGGATTCGAACCCAGAACCTTCCGAAGACATGTCGACTACTCTACCATTTGAGCTATCCGGTCTATACTAAATTTCCTTTCACTTATTCTATATACATTAAGCCACACCGTCCATCTTACGGCTAGCATTTTTAACAAATATAAATAATGCTGTGAAGCGGGAAAGAATAGGAGTTACGGATAATTATTAGTGAAAATTTGAAGGAGATTTCCCGATCATTTAAATAAATAATTAACTTCAAAGTTGAGCAATTTAACATATTGGTCTTATGGGGTAACCTCCAAACATTGATACATTACTGTATTTTTCTCGTAAATATGTCGGTGAATATTTTTAAAAAACTTATGGATGAAAGTAAATATATTAGTGATAAATTTAATTCAAAAAATTTTACACTTGCCCGACTAATTAAAGTGTATTAATTAAAAGAAAAATAAATGCCGACATTAGTCAATGTTAAATGTATATCTATATATTGAGAAAAATCATATGGTTACTGCTCTCCCCTTACCGCGCTAGAGTCGATACCTATCCCCACCCCGCCTAGCGCTCGTACTTCCTTAAAAATTTATAAATATTTCAATGATATTAAAATTCATCTATCAAAGTCTACGAGCGTTTCATACCTGAATTTATTATAATCATAGTATTCTTTTTCCAGGATCCACGGAAGAATATTATCAGTATGAGTTCCAGCGCATTTTTCTTCACTTCTCTTGAGGTAATCCTCTATATGATGTCCGCAATTTCTTGCGACAACTTCCGGATCTTTGTAATTAATTTTGTCCAAATATACAACCTTAATAGACGAAGGTAGTGGATCAACAGTTAATTGACTAAAAATTTTATAAATTGTTTTATTCCTAACGAAAATAACTTTCAAATTTTCTTTGTATTCATCAATAAGGTCATTAAGCTCCTTCAGGACATAATATAAGCGATGATCACCAGCATCCCAAGGAATTCCATATTTGTCATAGTAAGTTGAATAAAAGTCACCGACATGTGAAAGTAATAGTTTTATTACAAACAACTTATCGTAAGTAACTTCTCCATCACTATTTATAATTTTAATACTTAACTCTTTCAGGTAGAATTTACCATTAGGATTTTTGTATCCGTTCAAATCAACAAGAGCGACGTACGTTTTTTTTGGACTCATATGGCTTTAATTTGAAATAATTTTCGTATAAGCATAATCCGCCAGTGCGATGGTACTGAAGTATGCACAATTAATATTTTGATTTTTTATTATGAGTGATGGAAACTGCAAGTACGTAAAGGTTCCTTAGGTCGAAAATCAAAATTTGTGAAAGAACTCAAGGATTTTATGTTATCAGATTTCTGAGAAATAAATGACTGCAGTAGTTTGCGTTTTCTATCATTTTCTACATAAAATGTTGTGTTCTCTGATAACATATACGAATTATTGAATTTTTTAGGTCAGATACATCGTAAGATCCCTTGTTCCATTTTATTCCTATGGCATACAGGAATTTATCATTTTTTGACCTATCCATAGTGAAGAGATCATCTGCGTCCTCATGTAGGGTTACAATAGGCTCTTTTAAAATAATTTCTGGACCATTATCTGATATGTCACATAGACTGAATTCTTTTATTACGAATTCGCTAACACCTAAAGATCGATTTTTTCGAATGTAACCGTTAAAATCAACTACACAAATCCGATTCATTGTTATTGTTTTTGCTTTACTATTATATAAGTAATAAAAAAAATTTATTTTTTTTTTAGCAATGAATTTTTCATCATTTAGCCAGAACTTGAGTTTAAAGTTAGATTTTAATCGTTTGTTATTATGCCAAGTATTTGAAATAAATATTTTGGTCTAAATATTGGAGATACAGAAAAATGATAGGAAAGCTTTTTTAAAGGAAATTTAATTCTCTATATAAAAAAAGGTTTTCTCAATTTTTTAATATCTCTTATCATTAAGCCAAAAGTTTCATTTGAAATTAAATTCTAAGCGTGTCTGATCATATACTAGGAGGTAAAAAAGTTAAAAATCAAAATTTTGAGACAAATATTGAAGATACGAAAAAATGATACAAAAATTTTTTTATAAAAAAGTTTATTCTCTATAGAAAAAACCTATGTCAATTTTTCCATATCTCATATCATTTAGCTAGAATTTCCATTTAAAATTAGATTCAAAGTTTGATTAATTAGATCATTTGTTAAAAAAGTTTAAAATCAAAATTCTGAGCTAAAGATCGGATACAAAAAAATTATTGAAAAATTTTTCTAATAGAAGTATCTACTGAGTATAATTTAACTATTTTTAGTAGATTTTATAAAAATCTAACTATTGCAGCCGTCCTCATGGCGCAACTTTCAAAAAATTTAGCCATTTTCTGACTCAGTTTGTCGAGCTGAGTCAGAAAATATATATATTTATACGATATAACGCGGCTTGTCAGCACGATAGCGTTTTCAATTTATAACCGGTTCTTCTCAAACTCAGCATGCTTTATCTATCAATCAAGACCAAGGTTAAGTTCGAAGATGAGCTTAATCGGGCAAGTAATTTGGAAATGACAGGATTTTGAAATTTTGAAAATCGTAAAAATTGATGTTTTTACTACTTCAACTTGGTATAATTACTGAACTAGACAAGATATTGAAATTCAGTAAAATGCATCGTAAAGCTCTTTTAATAAGCTTCAATTTTCATTACTCAGAAGTGGTAATAGCCTCAATATTACTCCTTTTAGAGTTCGTTTAATGAAACAGTTTTACTGTTGCAGCTGTTTTAGAATTATTGTCTGCATCATAGCTTATAATCATATGATGTAAATTCAATAATTACGATATTGATCAGTCTTTCGTGTAATGTTTTCGAGTAGGTTATCAGTAAATATGTCACAAATTAGTTTTAAACATTGTTTTCTTCAATTAAAATTTTATCTGGTTTCAAAATTCTGATTAACTCGGAAACTGTTGTTTCTAAGCAGTTACTTAAAATTTGGACATTTATAAATACAATCTTATAATCTTTGCAATTCTTTGGTAAATATTTTAGAATTTTTTTCTTCACAAAATAATTTTTTTTCCAAAGTTTGTTCCAAATAGTTTTAAATTCATTATTGAATTTATTTTTTAATTCATGAATTAAGTTATCCATTGTTAGTGTTATTATATTATTTTATTAAAAATCAATTTTCTTCATTTGAAAAATCTACTTCCATTTCGGCTGCCGAATGGCCTTTTTACTTATTTGTACAAGTAATAATTATTTCAACTAAAATAATTGGAGCATTTGAAATAATTTTCAATTTATAAATATTTAATGAATTAATTTTCTTTCAAATTAAAATTTTTAAAACATAAATTAGATATATTATGCGGGCACATTAATATAAGATATCTTTTAAAGTATACAAAAGCGTTACATCTCGTAATATTTCATAATCAAAATATTCTTTTTCTATTATCCACTGAAGAATCTTATCAGTATGTTCATCAGCGCATTTTTCTCCACTTTCTTCAAGAAAATCATCTTCATGATATTTGCACTTTTTGGTGACAATGTCAGGCTCTTCATAATCAATTTCCTCTAAGCAAACAATCTTAACAGAAGAAGGTAATGGCCGATTTAATAATTCATTAAAAATATTTTTAATAATTTCATTTCTAACATAAATCACTTTCAAACTTACAGAGTATTGATCAATAATACTATTCAGCTCCGTCAAGGCAAATATTAAATTATAATTACCAGCACTCGGAAGAATTCCATATTTATTGTAGTACTTGGAATAATTTTCATCGATATCAGAATGTGTAAGTTTTACTACAAATAATTCTTCGTACTTAACTTCTCCATTGCTATTTAAAATTTTGATACTCAATTCTTTCAGAGAAAATAAATTGTCAATTTCACAGCAAACATTCAGATCAATAAGAGCGACGTACGTTACGTTATTTTTGTATGTATAATAAAGGTTCAATTTAAAATGATATTTATTAGCGTATTCTGCTAGTGCGATAGCTCTGTAGTATGCACAGTGAAGATTTCGATTTTCAATTGGATGATGTATACTGCAGATGCGTGAAGATTTCTGTTGGAAATTAAAATCTTCGAAAGAACTCAAAGATTTTATTTTATTAGTTCGCTTTTGAATAAACGATTGCAATTGTTCGCGTTTTTTATCAGTTTCAACATAAATTATTTTGTTATTCAGTAACATACGAATTATTTAGATTTCTTAACTCAGATACTGTATGAGTATACCCTTGGACCCGAAAATTCCGGTAGCATAAACGAAATCACGATAAACTTGCGCATGAGTGTCATTGAAAGTTTCAATTTCCTCGTCATATTTCGTTACAATAGGCTCTGGTAAAATTTTGATCTTACCGCTTTCTGATATTCCACATTTAGCGAATTCTTTTATTACGAAATTCTGCCCGAGAGATTTTGAAACTCGGTCGGTTTGGTAGTAATAACCGTTGAAATCAACTATACGAATTCGATCCATTGAAATTTTGTTGTTTTTTCTGTACTATAATAAGCTGAAGAAAAAAAAAAAAAGTTTTGAAAATCGTAAAGTAAACGAGTCATAATGCGCATTGAATTTTTAATGAGAAATGTATTATATATCGCTGGTTGAAAGAGTAAAGTAGAAAAAAAATTTTTATTACCATCACTGATAAAAAAATTAACATACTTAAAAAAAAATTCTTGAATTAAGATCATTATTTTGAAGAATTTGATCAGTTTGATTCAAGCGAAAAAATTCTCGAATTAAGTAAAATTTACTTTTATCAAGAACAATTTCTTAGTTCAAGAGTTTTTCTGCTGGAATCAAAATAATCAAATTCTTCAAAATGATGTTTTTGTACCGAAAAAAAAATTGATTTTGAAGAATATTATTGTCTGAAATTAAGACGAAAAATTCTTAAATTAACTTAAGCCAAGAAAAATTTTTCAATTCAAGAATTTTTCTCCTTAATTAATTCAAGATAATAAATCTCTTCAAAATGATTTTCTTGTTTCAAAATTATTCCAAAGAATAAATTTTTTTTTTTATAATAACAACTTCCTATAATTATTGAAAATCATTAATTTTCATAGCGAGAAATTCAAAACCATGAAGTTTTTCCTTAATTCGTTCATTAACTAACAAGAGTATGAACAATAGTTGCAGAGGAAATTTTGTATTATTCGGCCTTTGAGTCATGGAATTTCACTAAAAAGCTTGATATCTAAGTATGTACATAAAAAAAATAACAAATAAAATTATTATAAACCTCATATTTATTCAAAAAGGATTTACAGATTTATTAAATTATTCATTTTGTCAGCAAGTATCAACAGCGAGACTTGGCAAGAGCGGCGAAGAAGAAAATATCACATAGACATTCATTAAAACAATTTAAATGACAATTAAATTTATTTAATTAAACAATTTAATAAAATCAAAATTGACATACTACAAGTTGTAAGTTGATTCATTTTATCGGAAAAAAATTACTAAGTATTGCTTTTTTGTGCTGTTTCTCATTATTCTTTGGCAAAACTTATTACACATATTGTTTACATTAATAAATAATAAAAGTTATTAAATAATTGCTATGATAATAATAATAATAATAATAATAATAATAATAATAATAATAATATATGAATCGTGATTATTAATAACTAATAACATAACAATATAAAAAAAAATGCGAAAATATAAATTGTAAATTAATATAATAATAATCGTAATTGAAACTTTGGACGCAATTATGTAATTGGTGCTAAGAAAATTATGTGTAGAGTAAAATAATAATAATAATAATAATTAAAATAATTAATAACTAATAATAATGTATAATTTGCATCCATAACGTAGACTTTTGTTTAACGACAGTCCATCACCAAAACAATTATTTTTAATAATAATAATCAGTTTTAATTATAATAATAATTAATTATTACAAAGTCTAATTACTTAAAACAAATAAAATATATATATATATATATATATATATATATATTTTAAAATTCAGCCTCGAAATGTATATAAATATTGTTACTTTCATTAATTTGTATCCCGCGCTCTCGCCGCTTCAGACTACGATATTTTTATTAAATATTTATAATTTATTAGAGTTTACTATTTTTATTTATTTATTTTACATGAGACAGCGCAGTTAAGAAAGTTTTATTATTATTTATTTTTAAATTGACGAGACTAAAATTTTTTATCGTTACTCATAACACCAGTCGCCATTTTTACGGGTCGATTTACAAACTAAGATTTTTCTTCACCAAAAAAAAAAGAGTTACAAGTTCAAATTTCGCTATAAAATTAGTACAAAAAAAAAATCTTATCCTTTTTCTAACAAATTTTAAATTCCTTTTAATTAACTAGTCCTTAACTTTGTACACTACCGAGATACCCTAGACATTTGTCATTAAAATAATAATCATAAATCAAATAATTCAATTCAATAGTCATCTCACTGAACTCATGTCTTTTTCATGAAAAATTATCAATATTACAATAAGAATGATAACTAAAAGTTAAAATTATCGATAATTAAAATTACAATTACAATTATTATTATCAATATTAGTTATTTACAATTTATACTTATATATATATATATATATATTTATATACTTAAAAACTCTACACTATAAAGTCAATTAAAAGCCGCTTAGCGGAAATCATTTTAAACTCCATGGTCTTTGGTTTTCTAAAATATTTATTTATAAATATTTATCGTTAAATGATTTATTTATTAATCTCATTAATGAACTTTTTGCCAGTGACGTATAATTAATAAAATAAAAAATAAAAACAGTCAACTACTAAAAGTCTGTAGTATCAGATGACGGAATAATTAAATAAAATAAAAATACTCATACTGTAAAATAAAAATAATAATTAAAAAATAAAAATTGTTATCAATAATTATAAATTAAAAATTATGATAATTAAAAATGATAAATTAAACTAGCTAGGTATTTAATTAAAAAATTTCCGATGACGTATTTAATGAGAGCTTGTCTTCTGCCTCACGAGATCAGTCATTAATTTCAATTGGTTAAGTGATATGGCGCCCGTTCTAAAATTTAATTATCTGTTTTCTTCTTTTCTTCTTTATTATTATCATTTATTATTATTATTCTTGTGATAGTCGAGTAGAACGAACACTTAAGTGAATCAAGCCAGGTACAAATCCGTAGAAGCGTGATCTGTTTTGTTGGTGCAGGCGCTTCCTGTAGGTGATGCAGCGCTCGCTCCGCTGCTTGCGCGGGTGGCCGCCAAAGGCGACCGGCTTGCGACGTCAGCGCTGTTGTCTGCCATGCCGTTGCAGCTCTGGTGGTGCTGCGAGTTCTGGGAAGACGCCAGCGTATCCCCGTTGCAGTAATAGTATGTTGAGTCTGGAACATAAACGAAATTCGGTAAGTAATTTTGAAGTTTTACTTTTGAAAATAGAATTTTTATTTACTACCGATCTCTCACTAAAAATTTTTGCATATAATTTTTTTTTTTTTTTTTTTTCAATGGAAGTTTTTACTTTTTATATTTTGAAATTTGATCCCTGGCTAATCGGTTTTTTTTATTATACTCACTGTTTACTTACTGAGCAACCCGCTTGTAGCTGCTCCATAACCATAGCCAGTGTACGGCGCGCTGGAGTATTGTGAGTATGCTGCACTGTACGCGTAATCTCCACCTCCTGTAATCAAGAAAAATTATTTAGTTATTAATATTAAAAATCTAGACTAATAAATTAGAAGTTTTGTTTAAAATGCCTAATTGAAAAAAACTAATGAACTAATAGACGTAAAACTTGTATCAAAGAATGCAGCGTATTTCGGACGAAGGTTTTAATATACAATACATTCTCAATTGCTCATCGCTAATCTAAATTTGTTGGGTTATAAAATAATAACTTTCGTAAATTATAAATTCGGTATTTTCGATTACCATTAATGGAAAAATCAAAACAAAAATTCAGGTATTTATTCATTATTTGTTTTAATCAACATTCATTTATTCAATTGTATTTTATTTAATATCAAAGAAAATTTAAATGTTAAATAATTTCAAAAATTTATTTTAAATATCAGGCTAAAATTAACCAACCAAACTAACCCACTTTTTATAATAGTATTTATATTTTTAAATAACATGCTCCAAAAATAAACAAATTATATTTCTTCAATTATCTATATTTGTAATAATCAATTAAGAGACCTATTTTATACATGCCTAACCAGACAAAACTATTGAACGGATAAACATTTAATTAATCTTATAAAATGAAAAGTTTCTCAGTTATTTTTTCAAGTTTATTATATTTTTTCGATATTTTGTTAGTTAAGAAAATAATAACTTTTTATTACAAATCGTTTCTTTGGTAATTTAATTTAAATACATGAAACGTAAAAGAACTGTATATTGTTGATTGACTAATTAGAAATTTTAAAAGTTTAATTGAATTTTCATTACGATTATCGAGATATCAATAAACAAAATTGAAGATCATTTTTCGTTTTAAAAATCAAATTTTGAAGGCATTTCGATAAAATTAAGAGCATTAATCCTTGCAAGTAGAAAATTATAATTGCCGATGAAAAATTCTGAAATTGTTTTAATAAAAAACAAAAAAATTTCAACTCAAACCCAGCGAAGTGGGCGGTTGACAGTATTTACTTATTATGGTTAAAAAATACTTGAAACAATCTAATTATTGAGAATCTCAAATTTCGCGCCAAGTTAGCTCTCGGTTTTGCCACTAGATGGCTATTTTTCTCGCTTGCAGAAATGTTTCGCCAGAGTGTTTACAAACTCTAAATTTCTTTTTACTGTTAAGGTCAAAAAAATAAACTTAACACTTTTTACCTTCTATTTTGAAAAATAAAAATACTTATTTTTTTTTAAGATAAAAAATTATTTTTCTTAATATTACAAACAAATTTAAACTCAAGCCTCAAAACTTCAGAAGATGCAAGCATACAAACGCAAAAAAAAACAACATTCTTACCTGTAGCGTAGTGTCCAAAACTAGGCAGCATGGTGGAGTAAGGAGGTATCGAAGAAGCAACCTGTGCTTGGGAGACTGGCGATTGCAGGACAGTCAATCCAGGGTCACCCCCGCCGGCATTGGGGGTTGTAGGGGTAACATTACCGTCTTGAAGAGATACTGGGGGACTATGGTCTCCGGTTCCGCTCACGTTCACGTACGAAACTGCTACGCCACTGCTCTCTATACATGCATAATAACACAACATTCTTATCAAGCTTCTATCTAATGAACTATATACAATATTTAACAATTAACAATTATAAACTAACATTCCTCATTCTGATAAATTCAAATGAACAATTACAGGTAACACATACAAGCAACAATTATATCAAATATCAAGTATGAATTAATTAAAATGTTGAAATAAATTAAACTTACCGGTACCATGATAAGGTGACATATTAGTGCCATCTAATGTCTGGCTTAATTTTAATTCCTGCATCGTCAACGGCGCCAATGGTGTCAATGTTCCACCTGTTGAAAACAAAAATTTATTAATTTTTTTGTTGAAGTTTTGAAGTTTTTTAGGAGAACTTATTTTGTTACTTAGTTTATATTATATATCTAAAGATGTCTTTACTTTGGAGATTGAATTTCATGAGATGTCTTACTACTTACACGGCTCGATTCTTCCGTGTATTCAATGGTTACTACTGTATAAATTACTGAATCTTTATACTGTTATAGACTTTACTTTTGTATTTTTTAAACTAAGACGTTAAAATAAGAAATTTTTTGAGATAATTTTCTTGCACTGATAAAATTAACTTGATATAAGAGAAAATTTTGAATCAAGAAAATCATTTAGAAAAATTTATTCGAACAGGTAAGAGTGATATTTAGAATTTAAAATAAAAATAATTTTAAAATCAAATTTTCAAGTAAAATTCTGTCTCAATAATAAGAGATACGGAAAAGTTGATAAGGACTTTTTTTTTAAGAAATTAAATTTCTTACAAAAAAGATTTCTCATAATTTTTTTATAACTTCAGTCCTTCACTCACAATTTTAATTTAGAAATTTTCCTTGAAAATTTCAAAATTCATTTAACAAATTTTCATGATTGTTATCGTGAATGGCATAATTTTTTTTTTTATTCAAGACAGTAAAATTGTTCAAAATAATTTTCTTGGTTACAGATTTTTTGTCTTTTTTTTTTTTTACCAGTGTAAATCTTTAAACTTTTTCATTTCTTTTCATCAAAAATTAATAATTAAAATTGTGAATAAAAAAATTCTCCATCAGCAACAATTATTTTATATTCTCATAAGCCACGGATATAAAAGCTAAATACAAAGTGAAGCTGAAATAAAAAAAATAAAAAGTGAAGCGCGGCTTAAATGTCAAGTGAAAATCAGCAAAGAGCAAACACTGGTAAAGAAAATAAACTAAAAAATAAAAAAAGGTAACATAAAGTGGTTGGAGTATCAAGGAATGCAGATTGAGGTTGAGATTACAATATCTCGGTGATGGGTGATGGGGATGCTAAGCGTATTCACCTATGGTACCCCCGATGGGCGGGGTATAAAGATGGGGTGCTTGCGCCTGCGTCATCGTGCTGATACTGCCTAAAGAATCGTAGAGCTCCGCCGAGGTGGCAATAGCGTTCCCGGGGAATCCACTGTGCTCATAGTAACCAGAGGTATTATTCCCAGCACCACCGCCGGCACCGTTGGCGCCTCCTGTTGTTCCGCTCCCCGTCGTCCCACTGTTTCCGGTACCACCGGCTCCACCGAGCTCGTTCAAGAGCTTGTTCTGTTCGTCCTTTATGTTCCATTTGCTTGACCAGAGCTGCAATTTTTTTAATTTCATAGTATTTATTCACTATTCATAATGAAAAATAAATTTTTAAGGGCTTGTACGCATCAAAAATTAATAAAAAACTTAATTTAATTTTTGAATAAAAATAAATTATTTCAGTATATACACAGAAAATTTTATGCCAAACGGGTTATGTTTATTAAAAATAATGATTTTTCATTAATTAGCAATTGTTGAAATAAATTATGAATATTTTTATATGATTTCTGTCACAAAATTTTTTATGTTCTCAAAAGTGACCGCTAGGTGGCGGTGCTTCTCACAGTTAGAATTAATCACTGAATATATTTATATTAAGAAAATTTTTGTGGATTTTTGATTTTCAATGACTCCAACTAAAAATGTCAGTTTGAGTTCAAATTCTGGCTGAAAGATGAGAGTTACGGAAAAACCGACGAAGGCCATTTTTATTAAGAATAAAATTTCTTACAAGAAAGGTTTCTTATGATTCATTTTTATCCGTAGTATTTAAGACAGAATATAGATTTTAAAAATTCTAAAACGTGATTTAATCCGAGACAATTGATATCAAATATGAAATTAAAATTCCGGCTGAATGATAAGAGATAAATGAAAATTAATAAGGACTTTTTTTGGTAGAGAATTAAATTTCATACACAGAAAAAAAAATTAATTTGAATCAAGAGAAAAATTCTTGAATCAAGTAAAATTTACTTAAACCAAGAAAAATTTTCTTAGCTTAAGAATTTTTCTACTCAAATCAAGAAGATGAAGTTCTTCAAAATTATTTACTTGATTCAAGTAAATTTTTTTTCTGTGTACAAAAAAAATATCTTATGATTTTTTTTTAAATATAAAATCTATACTGCAAGACATCTTTTTTTGTGAGATCTCTCAATAATATAAGAAAAAAAAAAAAAAAAAAAGATTGAAAAATTCCTTTTTTGGCCTTTTAAGTATCTGTAAGTCTTGCGAAAAACATAAATTTACTCACATTTGAATATAATTGATCTCCGTTGTAATTATTTCTCTGTCTTTTCAAATCGTCCTCCGCATGGTCGCTCAAGTGGTCGCGATTTTCATCTGAAAAAATAAAAAAAAATTATGAAGTAAATTTTGAAAAATTGAGAGCCGATAGATTGAAACAATTCAGATTCTATTAAATGTCTTTATTATGTTCCAGGTGTACCAGTAGCAGTTTATGGGCACGCGGAATACACGCGCGTATATTCTGGACAGGGAGAGGATGGAAAAGAGAGAGTCGTCCAAGCGAATACGGGTATCCGGAATAATTAAATGAGGATCCGGGGGTGAGAGATGAAGAGCGACTAGATAGAGAGAGGGTGCTAGCATAGGGCTCGTTAAAGCTCCCTGTCAAGTTGTGATTGTCCGGCTGGTCGACTGACTCTTCTCTTCTCTTTTACACTCTGCACTCTTCTGCTAAATGGAATATATACGTATATGGGATATATATGGAATAGGTACGACCATCACCCGAAATCCCAAATTCGTGGTCTATGTTCTATGTTCTATGTCTATGGGGTTGTTTCGCCCGGTACCGGCTATAAAATCCACGTCCGAGCCGTTACGCGCTCTACGAACTAAACTACGCCTCTCCTATTGCCCCGCAGTATCTATGTATCTATATATGTAAGTATGTGTGTATGTATGGATGGATGGATGTGATATGTGTGTGATTCGAAAGAGTATGCATGACCAGTTGAATTTTACGATTTAATCGATCGCATTTATCGGTCCTCGCCGAGTTATTGTTTCATTCTGTTTTACATTTCCGGGCAATCATTTATTTTCATTTTTTATTATTATAACCCACTATTTGTATTTTATGTATGACATTTTCTTTTAAATTCCTCATATTCTTTATTGTGATTATTAATTAAAAAATTTTTTATACTATCAATAATAATAATAATGCAATTTTTTCAACAACTCTCGACAATTATTATACTTATTACTATTATTGTTACACCGATAGAAAAATTTAATGAGCATTTATTAACTCTTTATAGTTAATGAATATTTGTTAACTGTTAATAAATATTTTCTAACTATTAATAAATATTTACTGACTGTTAATAATAATTTTTTAACTGTTACAAAATTAACTTGTCTTCAGAGAATACTTATTAAAAGTTAAAAAAATATTTAGATATCTTTAATAAACGGACAAATTTTTTTCCAAATAAATAAATTGATTAATAGTTAATTAATTATTTTATCAGTTAATTATTATTATGATTATTATCACAGTTGTATTAATAAATGATGCGATTTCTTAAGCCGTATAATTAAGGAAAAAAAAAAAAAAAAAAAAACAAATTTTTTAAATAATATATTTCATTATATTTTCACTATTATGCAAAAATATTCATTGGATCTAAACTCAATACTAATTAAATGCGACAGGTTTCTTTAACTCGGTTGGAACGAATAAATAATCTTTACGCTTTCTAATCGTGGTTATTGTTAAATAAAAATAATAAAAAAAGGATTTCACTTATACACCAGATCGCTAACTAATTTATTTGTAACTTTTTTTACTCATACAACTACAATACATTATTATTATTATCATTATTAGCTAGCAAGTTTTTTCTCTCTCGAGCAGCGGCAAAAATAATTTTCGATTCCTTGGGCTTTTTAAACGGAATTAAAAAAAAAAAAAAAGAGAAACTTTTGTCGAATTGAGACTTAAGGACGCGATTATTATTTATATATATTTTCGATCCGATATCTACCTAAATCTGTTTTAGTGGTGGGTATTGAGCACTATTATTGAGTATCTAGCGGACCCTTGGAAAACAGTCACCCTTAGATAGCCGAGGGGTCGAGATTCACCCCAAAAATCCATTATTACCCGTGTATTGTGTTGCTTAACATTGACTCAATTGCTTTCGAATAACAGTATGTACTGTGTTGTATATCTCATATATATGTATATATATATTACCAGTGCAGCAAAGAAAGATGAGGAATAAAATAATGCAGAAAAAGTGGCCCTTTGCCGATCGAATTATTCGATTTACTGCATGCTCTTTTTTGGGGACATGACCGAATATTTTATTCTATTTCTGATTATATATACTCCAGTTCTCACCCTAAAAATATATACTCTAACGTCATCATAACAATAATAATAATTATTATTATTTTTATTTTTATTATTTTTATTCGTACTATTGTGTAAGCAATCATTCATTTTTAGAAAAAAAAGAATTATGGATACTCTACATTTTGACAGAGTTTGACTGCAAAATTTTTCTAAAAGTATCAATATACCAGTAGATAGTTGACGAGTTTTTACTTTTTCTTTATCGAATAAATTTCTATTTGAAATTTTGTTTTTTTTTTTTTTTTTATTTTCTCAACAATTCAGAAATAAGTATGAATACAGGACAAGTTTTCAATTTATTATTTTTTAAATAAATCTGTGATAAAAAATTGCAACCATAGTTTTTTAAAATTTCTATACTTCTTGAAATTTTAAAAAAATTTTCTTTATAATAATTGAGAAATATGACACCAATTTTCTTTATTTTAAATAAATGAGTATCAGTAAAATTATTAAAAAAAAAAACATTACAAGCTTAATTTTATTTAAATAGAATTGATGAAAAATTATTAAGTTTCTAAGAATTTTTTCACATCTTCAACATATTTAGCAATTAAATTTTCCGCAAAAAATGTTTGATATTTTTCTGATATTCAAATCAAAAAATTTGATAATTTTGATGATTTTTTTTAACAAATAAATTATCAGAAAAAATTTCGTATGTCGAAATATTAAAATACTTTAAATGTAAATTTTTTAATACTAACTCGTTTATTAAATAATAAAATGAAAAATTGTCAGATTTTCGCTGAATATTTACTATCATAAAATTTTTCGCCATCTTTAAAAAATTAAACAGTCAAAACAATCTATAAAATAAAAATAAAGATAAAATGAAAGAAGGGAAATACTTTATAAAGTATAGGAGATTAAAGTGAGTAGACATGAAAAGGCATACAATTATAAGCAGCTAATGCATCGTTATATTACGAGTATCACCAAGTTGTGGTCTGTGAAGTTTATAATCTAATGCATTCCTACACCCTCCAGGCGAGCAGAGCCAGGTTGCGGCTTTTGAGGGGATTAGGGAACCCAAGAGTGGTAGATTATATATATATATATATATGTAAGTACATTGAGTGCTCTCTAATAAATGTGTGTAAATATGTATACATGTGTGGTAATAACGCTGGTAAACCACTTCTCATATACAGCCACACATATCACGGCTCATAATCCAATTATATCAAATTACACCGATGTACATCGTTCCTCGTGTGACTTTGTCGGTAGCCAATATTACTTTTATACACACATAAATTTATTAATTTTTTGCTGTAATCCAACCGCAATGTTTATTAATATTTTGACATATCTCTCCATTTTTTTCGTCTTTTTATCAAATCTTTTATGTTTATTCCAAATTTTAATTTTTATTTTTTAGTTTTCGATGAAAAAATTGAAATAAAAAGTTTATGATGTATAGTGTAAGATTGCGTGGTGTGTCAACTACAGACGCGTGCCGTTGTGAATATTTTGGGTCTCGTGGTTATTCACGCAATGACAAGAGAATGAATGGCGGCACGTGTTCGCCAACGGTTGACTGATATCCTACGTAAGTATAAATTTGTGTCGCTAATATTGGCTAAGACTAAGTTTGACTTTTAAAAAGTGGTTATTTATTAATATTATTATTATTATTTAAACATTTAAAATTTTTAATAATAATGATTGAGATTGATTATAATTATTAATTATGAATAAAAGAATTTTAGCTTGATGATTTTTCGATAATTTTATCACAATATTTACAAATTAGGTACTTTTGATAATTATTGCTATTACAGGATTAATTATCAATAGTTTTTTAGATAAATTATTTATACCGATTATTATGAAATAAAATAATAAAATACCATCATCAGTGCGTTTCCTTTTGATGCTATTGCCATTAGGATCCTGATGATGAGCAGGAATCCCAAGAATTCCGCTGATACTGTAAGCGTTGGGAGCAGTAGCTGCCGGATGACCACCAGCAGTTGCGGGTGCGTGGGCTATCACCGATACAGAACCTCCAGAACCCGGTTGCCCTTGTTGCTGAGCCTGTTGCTGCTGGTGCGCATGTTTCGCCTTTTCAGCGGCTTTATTCCTCACGATTCTGTAATGCAAATAAAATTTAAGATGATTAATTAAAATTATTCGGATCATTAGTTTTCGATATTAGTCGCGGATAATTCTCCTCATCCTCATCCTCATCCGTTTATTTATTGGTACATTGTTATCTGGTTTATTATTAGAAGTGATTGATGGTATGATCAATTTCATAAGTCATAAAATAATCTTATGTAATTTATTGTTGGCAAATGTATCAAATAGTTATTATATGTTTTATTGAGTTTGTTATTGTCATAGTCATCAATACTAGTTATGATATTCACTGATAAACATATTAACTTGCTTGGAGCAAAGAAAATTAAAAAAAAAAATTTATTCAATGAAACTAATTAAAAAAAAAAAAAATTATTTTCATCCCAATCACCAAAAAGAGTCATTAAAAAACTTTCAAAGCCTTATAAAAAATAACCCAAATGAGAATTATTAAAAAAAAAAGGATAAAATTTATCGGTACTCTCTATCAGGAGAAACAAATGGTTTTTCCATTTGCGAGGATTTATGTTGAGGTTTTTCGCCGATTTTCACTTGGTAAATCCACCACGGGCTACGCGCGCTCGTAATGTTGAGACATTAAGGCCACGGGTGTGTTGCGGCGTAGGTGATTACCTATCACGATACAGGGATACAGGGGTCGACATCAGCAACGGCGATCAATCAGATGACACCTGTTGCCAGAAGTTATCTTTCTCTCTTTCTCTCTTCCTCTGGTCCATAAACTGAACTCGCAACCAGCTTTTTCTCTTTATCTTGTACAGTAGTGGGCAAAACCTTCAGTAATTCCTGACAATTAGTCTCGATCCTTATCGCAGACACGCCTCTGACTGAATTGGGGAATCTCAACTCAGCCATAATATCCATTTTTATTTGCCGGTTATTCAACAGTTTTTATTTTCTTTTATTTTTAGGTAAATTTCTTTATGAATTTGCCTGTTGCAGAGGAACTCAAGTTGGAATTTACATACGATTTTGTTATGAAATGTTTGATTTTTTTGAGTTATACTGATATGATAGAACCGGCCTTGTCAACACGATTACGGCCATAATTCTTGACGGATCTCGATGAAACTCAAACTATTTATTTTACAAACGAAAATCTTATATATCCATTAGTTCCAAAGTTGTGTGTATTGGAAAAATTTTTAATGTCAGCTTCCATAAATAACTATAACATGGCTCATTTTTTGAAAATTCCGTATAGTGGATGTTATAATTAATTAAATAAGTTACCATTTTCATTATTAAATGTATAATTTCCCGTAAAACTTGTAAATTTTATAAATGTTTTGAAGGAAGTATCAAATATTTAAACTATTATGTGCTCAAATTGAGAAATCGACCTTTTCATATCGAGTGTGGCCGAATGGTGCTTTTTTATTTATTTACTTTTTTTTCTAGATAAACATTCTTGCTAATCACTTATCACTTATCACTGAAAAGGTCAACGACTGAATTAATTTTATGTAATTTACAACCGGTGTCATTCTTTTAGACTTCAGACTCGATAACAAGTTTTTAATTGCAATTTTCAATGATATAATAAGTAATAAGTATAACTTAAACTACTGTAGATAAATAACTATAATTATTATAAATTTACGTAAGCGTGTATGTGATATAATCTATGGTACCTGTCTGACAGATGGTTGTTCTGATAACTCAAGTGTTATTTAAATATATATTTAAAATTTTTTTATTTCTTCTGATTATAAATTAAAAAATAATTTATAAAAGTTTAAAATTAAAATTATTTCGGAGACCATTAATTATAATTGAGTAATATCAATAATAAAAAAAAAATGCACTTTCCGGAATGGTGATAATAAATTAAATTTGCAATCGACAAAACGTCCCTTGAGACTGTCGAACTTAGTGAGTTGCGCGTAATAAATACCGAAAAAATGACCGTTTAAAATTTCCCTTTCACCCCATAATTAGCCCCGAAAAATATTTAACATAACATAATTATCCGGTACATGCAGGAGTCTCCGCCAATTATAATTTCCCGGGAGAGCGATATAAGTAAATTAAAAATGACAACATAAAGTTGACAAAAGCCGAACAATAAAATTAACTAGTAATAACAAATAAAGTAACGCACGGGCTTGTAAACTTTCTGGAAAAAGAATAGCGAATAAGGGTTCGGTGTTCTGGGCTCTGGAACCACAAACTTTAATGTTGGCATTACTTTTATGCTCAACTTTATGCCAAGGATCCCATCAAATATATGACCTATCCAGCTACCCAAGCTTCCCCGGGGCCACCTCGATTCCCCTCCCGTCGCTAAATTATTGCGAATAAAACTTTATACTAAAATTACCTCTACGCAAACTTTATCGCATTTCGGTCCTCGGGATTTGTTTTATACTTCATATATTTGCTCATTTGCTCACTTCAACCTCGTAAAATATACTTTATATTTGCGTCCTCAGTGTTCTGGACTAATCTAATTCATAGACTGATAAAAACAAATATTTATCTTGATAAGAAAAAAATGAAATAGTTTTTATGAAAGCTTAGACTTTTGAGATTTTCTTTCAGAAAAATCTCCATATGTAGAGTGTGGAACTTTTTTTTTATTACTCGATATCTTTAGAACGAATCAATCGATTGAAATGCTTGACTCGCCCTTAGAAAGGGTCTATTTTGAGACTTGAATCTGATTAAATTTTGACATCGATCGGTCGAGCTGTTTTGAAGAGATAAAGAAAAATCACTGGGTTAAGAGCAATATAATAATCGAAAAACTTTTTTGATTCATCTATTTTTGGCAATAACTCTTGAACCAATTACCCAATTTGAATATAGTTTGCAGTATTCGATTCAGTTTTTCAATTCTCACGCTTCAATTAATTTTTGAATCAATTGATCAAATATTTTATGAATAATAAAAACAAAATATTCGAAAAAAATTTTATTACGTTTTTTCGAGATAAATTTTTAATTTATAAATTAATTAACCCAAGACTTTATTTATACTTTCTGAATTCGGAACACTGCGTCGAATGCTGTCAAAAAGATCAAATTTGACGGAAACGTTCAAAAGCTATCGCACTTTATAAATATACAAAAGCGGCTATTTTATAATAATTCTCAGATTTTTGAGTTATCAATCTTAAAAATCAATTCATTAGTAATTTTTGAGTGCTCTGTCCTCAAAAATAGCTCAAAGTTTTCAGGTCCAGCCTGCAGGATCAACTAAAATTTCTATTATAGACAGCAGAAAATGGAATACCTTAAAGTATCTCATATCATAAAATATGAATGTCACCAAAACTTGACAATAAATATCTCAAAATTCCGGGCACTTTGCGGTGTGAGGTTAAGTGTTAATACATTTATTATTGCGCTGGTCTATTGTAATTCGTCGGAGGAAGTAACCTAGGAAGTAACCGTATAACAGACTCTGAGAGGGCGTAAGAAGGCATTGAATAGAACAGAGTATCCAAGAGAGAATTTAGCGGTTCTACGGACAGATGCTTTAGTCCTCACCGTAGAGTAACTTGCCGGCGGAACGGGTTTAAGGACTCTCACCGTCTCTCTCAGGCTCATACCTTCCCACCTCTTTCGTCTTCTTCCTTTTTCCACCTTAATTCTAGAACAACTGTACGGAGACACACAATACGGGACTTGCTTCTTGGCTATTGTGCAGCCTACAATGCTTCTAGGTTTATTCAAAGCTCTCTTTCCAGGAGCTACTGGCGTAACTGAGACGGAATTGTAATGTATCTGATAGCTTACTTCTACATAAAACTTGCCCAAAGGACAATTATTTTTCTTCCTACCCATTGTCTAATTGATAATCATTATCATCTTTATCTAAATATCCATATAGATCAATAAGAACATCAATTATTAAAATATTGGCTGTTGTTATTCATCATCAAAGCAAGATTTAATATCTCTTCATCCAACAAACAGAAGTCCAATATGCGATTTGATTAAGTGTCTGTTATTGAGCCTGGGTACATTATTATTAACTCTGGAGAGTTCCAGGACAAAGACCGAATGTTTTATGTGGCATTGTTGGCTGAAGCAGCTGCCGAGAATGGGAATAATACCCACAACTGTATTAACTCCGATGAGTATATTATCGTGGATGTCACCGTGCAGGATATAGAATGTAGAATGTAGGATAGAAGGCTCCTGGTATGTATGTTTGTTTGCGATCCACGGTCCAGTACAAAAGGTGTCCTCTTGACAATAACCCGAGTCAACAGTCACGACGCTAAGCACAATGTAACACACGATTTATAAACACGGACTAGAAACAGAAATGGGGTCCGTAGGACTAGACACCCTAGACCCTCCAATTTCTATTATCCTACTTGCTGCAAAACTCATCGGGGTCTTCGGGCCAGATTCACCCGTATGTCTGTTTCCTGTATCCTGGATCTGCAGGAAAGGGAGTTTTCTTTAAAATTTACCTTGGAGATGACAGGAATCGTGGAACTTTCCACGATTCGTTATGTAATTACAATTTTATTTATCATGATTCACAAATACAATAGAAAAAATATAGAAAAGTAACATCAATTTTTACTCTACTGTACTGGGAAAAAATTAATGAGATGCATAATTATTTTTGAATATTTTAGGATTAAAAAATTCAGCAAAATAACATGTTTTTACTTAAACTACTAAAAAATTAGCCGGAGTCTTCAGTAAAAATGAATTTAAGTGTTTGTATTATCCACCAACTTTGCAGTCAATTCTAACAAACTTTTATACAATTATCATTCTAATAAAACTTTACGCAATTAGATATTTGAAAATCAGACATTATTCTATATGATGCATTAATTTTTTTTTTATTTTACGAGTCCGGTAAATTTTACTTTCAAACTTGAAAAAGAATTGTTATTACTAATAAATGGTAAAACAGCGCCCTAGATTAGAGTAGAGTCCGGGAATTTTTACCATGAATCCTACAGTAAATTCTAAATAAAATTTCTTCCCGTGTGGAACAGTGGCAGGAACTGTGTCTCGCCAACGCAAATTTTGATTTATGCCGTTTTTTTTTCTGCCCGAAATCA